GGAGAGGAAGAGGAGGAGCGGCCGTGGAGAGGGAGGGGCCTCGGGCGCCACCGCCCACCGAGCGGGCCGTTACCCGACCGGCCGCCGCGCGCGCCCCGCGCCCGGAGGCCGGCTTCTCCCCGCGCCCCCCAGGTGGTCTTCCCTGCGCGCCACTTCCAGGTTGCGCCCTCCCCATGCCTCCTAGGCAGGTCCTGCCGGGAGCACCCCGGTAGATCCTCCCCGAGCCCCTTCCCGGATGAGTCCTCCGGTCGCTCCTTCCCAGGTGGGTCCTCCCCGCTTTCCCCCCACGCCTGCGTCCTGCCGGCATCCCCAGCGCCCCTTCCCGCGGTAGTCCTCACTACACCCTCCACGCCTTTCCGAGTCCTTTCCGGGGCCTCCTGTCCCCTCTTTCCTACACACCCTTCTCCTGGGTGGGTCCTCTAATTCCCCACTGTCGTGAAGCTCAGTGGCACAGCCCTGGCCTCATGACCCTGCCCCACACCTCTCTTCCAGGCCTGGCCCTCTCCACTCACCCCAGGTCTTTGTCCCTGCCTCTCACTGCCTAGCCCCCACTGCCGTGCTTGGACAGTGATGGTGCCCGCATCCCACCTGGATGTGGGTGAGTTCCTGAACTGGCATGGTCTCTCTGAACTGTGGCCTGATTGAAAGCCCAAAGGAAGGGAGGTGCCTGTGCCCAGAGGACACCGTCTGGAAGGCCCTGCCTGAGACTGGGGGTCTCGCAGGCCTCACTGACAGTGGCCCAGACCCAGCGGGTGGGGGGGTGGGAGGTGCCATGCCCAGAGAACAGTGAGGCTGGAAGGGCCGCCCCTGTGAGGAGTGAGGCGTCTGCCTCTTCTTCCCAGCCCTGTGCATGTGTGTGCGTGTGAGTGCGTGTGTGTGCATGCTTGTTGCTTAAGGTCCAAGGACTGCGGAGAGTCTGGTGACCATGTGGAGCCGGCAAGACCAATGGCCCGGGTGCCCCCAGCTGGGAAGAGCATGAGGTGGAGGGGGTAGCATCTCAGAGGGAGAGAAGCAGGCATCCCAGCCAAAGTTTGGAGCCAGGATCGACATCACTGCTGAAGGCAAGGGAAAGGAGGTGTTGGGGGCTCCAGGTTGCTAGTCTGAGCGACATCGTGGGTTACTGCCCTGTTGATCACATGGGGCAGGTCTATGGCTGCAGGGGGCCGATGTTTAGCTTGAGGGACATCCCTGTAGGACACAGAGGGGAGCGTTCAGGGCTGAGGGCAGGGTACCACAGCAGTGGGCGAGGCACCCAGGGACAGAGCGTGTAGGAACCCCACTGTGGACAGTTCCCTCCAGGGAACTAGGGAGGTGGGCAGGAGCCCAGAGCATGCGTTGAGGTGAAAGCTAGGCAGGGGTCCAAGGAGGGCAGTGGGCCAAAGGCCACATGCTGCAGAGCAGCCCAGGCCACCAGAAAGAGAAATGCCCATTGGTTAGCAGTGGAGCCACCATCTCTCAGAGGAACTGGATGGGAAGGGCAGCCACGGGGGAGCTGGAGGGTGTGGTACCACAGTGAGATTGATGGTGGCTGGAAGGGGACAGCAGGAGGAGGAGCTCAGATACAGGCGAAGGGGTGATGATATCCAGGCAGTTTTCCCCAAACAGGGGGTGGTGGCAGAACGGTCTCCCTCCCTCCCCACAGGCCCCTGTCCTAACGTCAGGGCCTACATCTCCTCATCTGGGCAGCGAAGCTGCAGGATAAAACCTTCTTCCACCGATACCTAACCAACTGACTACAAAGTTAGTGAGAACTACCAAAAAATGCCTAGGCAGCTGTTAGGCACAGAGAAAGCTGGAAATTTCATGCCTTGTAAAGTGCCTGCTTCTGCCTCCCTCCAGAAAGAGGATGGGCTTCAACCTGAGAATATGGCAACGTGGTGAGGACTCTCGCCATGCCCCAGCTGGGGAGAGGAGCAGACTGAAGGAGGGAGGCTGTTTTCCTTCCTCCAGTGGGGGTGGAGGAGAAATGGCTTCCAGAGAGTGGGCAGTCAAGGCTGACTTTCATGGGAAGTGAGGCCACCAGGGTCCAGTGTCTCAGCGAAGCCATCTGAATTCCAAGTCTCCCCACAAAGGATAAGGATACGCCCTCACACAGCAGAGTGACATTTAATAAAATCTCAGGAGACTCCACAGAGCCCATCTCCTCCAGCTGGTTTCTGAACTGCTTTCCCCGCTCTCTAGACTAACAAAAAAGGGATTGCACACAGTGTCCTGCTGGTAAAGTAGCTCAGGGGCAAGTCAACAGAGCTCAGATAATTTGCAAAAAAGACTTACAAATCCATCTGTTTAGTAGCAGAACAAACAGACATTCAGGAGAGCGCTCCTCGGTGGGAAGAGGCATGACATGTGAAGGAGGCACGGCGACCACATGCATTCGACAACAGCAGAAACATCGGAGGAGGAGGGAGGCAGCGAGGGGCGGATGAAAACCCAGCAGAGAAGAAAATACAACTCAAGACGCAGAAGACCATGCCCCAGGAGCACTGCAGGTCGTAGGAGCTTAATAACACGAGACCAGTGATCAGAAGCTCAAATAAGAAATGACAAAACAGGAGAATGAGAGCAAGATGTAAGAGCTGAGGGGACATCTTTCCTTGGAGTCACACGGAGCAAGTTGGCAGCAAGAGGGGCAGGATGTCCATCACCACGACCGGAAAGGCTGGATACAGTCTTGGGGCAGGATGAGCCATGACAACAATCACTGATTCCTTCTGCGGTTGCTGGATGAGCAACACTTCATGCCACACTATTTAGACGCCAAGGTGGCGGGGAGGAGTGCCTCCCTCAGGGAGCACGCAATCTAGCGGGAGGAGGGGAGAGAGAATGAACAAATCATGGATGATGATGTCACGGGCTTTGAAGACAAAATGCCGAAGCTAAGGTGACAGAAGGGTCAGAGTGAGGAACAGTGTTTGTTTAGGTCAGGACATCGGCCAAAAAGGGACCCATGCGGTCTAACGGTAGGCCATGCGGCCCAGGGGCCACTCAACGGGGCTGCCTCCCTGTGCAGGGCCTGATGGGGCCCATGGGGACTTTGGCTTCGCCACTGGAGGGCTCTGAGTGACCTGAGCTGACCTTTGTTCAAAAGCATCCCTTGGCTGCTGTGTGGTGAGGGGTGAGAGAAGAGGCAGGAGATGGGAGAGCAGGAAGACCGGAACGAGGCAGAGGAGTGCAGAAAGCATTCGAGGATGCGCCGCGAGAAAGTCTCCCTGAGCAGCAAGGACCTGCACGTGAAAGTTTCAAACCACGCTCCAGAAAGACCCACAAGTACCACCCACACTGAGACCTGTCTTGCCTGAGTTACTGCACTTCAAGGATCAATATAACCAGCTTTCAGAAGAAGCATATCATATACAAGGACGACAACCAGGTTGGCCCTGATTTCTCCAGCAACACTGAAATGAAGTTCTTTAAAAAGGTAAAAGCTGGGCTGGCCCCGTGGCTTAGCGGTTAAGCGCGCGAGCTCCGCTATTGGCGGCTTGGGTTCGGATCCCGGGCGCGCACTGACGCACCGCTTCTCCGGCCATGCTGAGGCCGCGTCCCACATACAGCAACTAGAAGGATGTGCAACTATGACATACAACTATCCACTGGGGCTTTGGGGGGGGGGAAGGAGGAGGATTGGCAATAGATGTTAGCTCAGAGCCAGTCTTCCTCAGCAAAAAGAGGATTAGCATGGATGTTAGCTCAGGGCTGATCTTCCTCACACATACAAAAAAAAGGTAGAAGCTGACCTTAAATGCAGCCAATAAGGATAGAGTCAAAGACTTTGAGTGGCAAGCTCGCCGTGGGCTTCCCCAACGAGGGGGACTGCTCGGGAGGTGGCAGCCAGTGATGTAAGCATGAGACACTTGGCTGGTCTTCGACAACAGGAGTACGTCTCCCATGCGGGCAGGGTGACGGTTGTACAAGTGCCAGCTCTTCAGCATTCAAAGCAAGAAGTCGAAGCTGCTGCTAAAAAGCACATGACACTCATCTCTTAATGTTTTTTGTCATTTCTAAAAATAATCTTAGGGAAATCTTTTAAACTGGTGAAGAACCATTCATCGAATTTCAGCAATCATGTTTTCCCTTAAAATTAATTTTTCATTTGAAATGAGTCGTTCTACGCTTACTCTGTATTTCCATGTGTCCTCTTATCTCTGCCCCGGCCTTTACAAATACCTGAATAGCCACCAACTGTTAACAGCGGTTATCTCGGTGATGAAATTGTGGGGAGATTTTTAAAACTTTATTGTCAGATTGTTTAATAGTGAGCAAGTGTTCTTGCAAAGCCAATGAAGTCATTTTTTCAACAGGGGCAACTCTCGGCAATGACGTCCGCTGGCCCTTGGGAGGGCACTGACTACACCTCCCAGGCACCCCGCCAGCCCTGAGAGCTGGACCACGGGGGGCTTCCCTTTCTGCTTGGGGTGTCTAGAGCAGCCTCCACTCCCTGCTCCGAGCTGGCCTGACTCATGAGTACAGACGGATGCTGGGGACCAGGGAGACCACCGGGCCGCCTGGGCGAGCCTGAGCACAGGAGACCACCCTCCCTGCCACAGAGCACCCAGTGGCCCCCCTTCCCAGGGGTGTGCCCAAACAGGCCCCCGCCCGAGGCTATCCCTGTAAGTCCTCGGGGGGCACCTTGTTCCTCGTAGAGCCCGGTAAGAGACCTGCCCGGTCAAGAAGCAGAAGTGACAGGACAGTTTAGAAGGGACGTGTGGTGGTTGCACTGCAGTGTCCACTGTCAGTGGTGGCCGGGGTGACATCCTAACAAGACTGATGCTGCCCCAACAGTCTCCCTCTCTGCTCGTCCCTCTGAGGCCCCCCTCTCTCCCAGGGGCTCCCAGCTGGGGCACTGTTGACATGTGGGGCCCAATCATCCTTGGTTGTGGGGGGGCCGTCCTGTGCTCTGTGGGATGTTGAACAGCTCCCCCAGCCTCTACCCCTCGATGCCAGGAGTCCCTGTGGAAGGCAGAGTGCCCCCTCCCCAAAAGACGTCCACGCCTTCACCCCAAACCTGTGACTCTGCTAGCTTACAGGGCAAGGGGTGGTTAAGGCTGCTAACCAGCTGACCTTAAAATAAGGGATTACCCAGGTGGGCCCGATGTCGTCACAAGGGTCCTTAAAGAGGAGGCAGAAGAGAGACAGAAGAAGTGAGGATGGGAGCAGGGCCAGAGAAACGCTGAGCTGCTGGCTTTGAAGATGGAGGACGGGGCCACGAGCCAAGGAATGCAGGCAGCTTCTAGAAGCTGGAAAAGGCCAAGAGCAGATTCTCCCCTGGAGGCTCCAGGAGGGAGTACGGACCTGCCCACACCCCAATGTTGGCTCGATGAGACCCATTCTGGACTTCTACAGAACTCACAGTGAATGAACTGAGGACACTAAGTCTGTGGTGACCTGTTAGGGCAGCAGTAGGAAGCCAACCCCCAGTGTGACAGCAATGCCATCTCCAGGCCCTGCCACCTGTCCTCAGGCACCACACTCTACTGGACAGGGCTGCAGGCTCCAGGCCAGTCCCCACTGGGAGTTGGACTGCCCTGTAGTTGCCATAACCACAGCAGGCAGCAGATGACACTGCCCAGCTCTGGGCTCAGCCCTAAGGGGGCTGCTGTGGTGGGGGATGTGGGGTGCTAAAGGCCAGCTCCCAGTGGGGGAGAGCTCATCAGCCCACTACCATCTGACTGCAGCCTCATGAGCCACCCCAAGTGAGACCAGGAGACCTGGCAGAGTGAGCCCAGTGCATCCCTGGATTTCCAGTGACAACATGGAATCCTTCAAGCCGCTCAGCAACAGAGAGCCCCACAGCACTGTCACCTCCATCCAAACTGTTGACACTGTAGCTCCCACTCTGGACTGCCCAGCATGGAGGGTGGCCCTTGACACCCCCCCCCCACTTCATCATCAGGGGTCTCTGGTGGGGCTTCGGGAAGGGGTCATGATGTCCCCCAGGGCCCTGCCTAAACCTCACCCTCCCTTTTCCCCCCGTTAGGACGCCTTCCCCAGTCCCTCCCACCACCCTACTGTCCCTGTGGCCCTCCACCCACGCTAGGGATCCTGAGAAATGCACAGGCCTGGAACAAAATTACATTCAGGGGACTCCAGAGAACTGAAGGGGGCTGCCCAGCTGTGTGATCTTAGGAGGCTTCCTGGAGGAAGAGGGACCTGCACTGAGTCTTACGGTAAGGCAGGGTGGGAGGCAGGAGTAGGGAATGCACTCTCGCTCCAGCTCCGTGTCGGGAGCAGGTTGGGAGCACAGTATCTCAGCAGTGGGCTCTGGGAGGGAGCAAGGGTGGGGGTGGCCTAGCCGGCTTGCTGGGGCATACAAGAGCCCAGGCGCTGCACAGGCCTGGCTCCTGCCCTCCCTAAGACCTGGGGTTGATCACCTCATCTTGCCCAAAGCCCCCTCCACCCAGCTCCCCCACACGGAAGCCCAGTCAGCCCCTAGCAGTCAGTCACTGAGTCCAGGGGATGGCACCCAGCCCCCCTGCTGACCTTCCACTGCCCTTGAGGGCTGGGAGCCTGTGATCACCTCCCTCCTTCCCCGCCTCCCAATTCCAGCCCCCCTCCAGCTTGGTCTCCCCAAAATGCAGCCCCTGCCTCGTCACCCCCAGCTCAGGCCCCTCCCCCCCACCCACCCCTCAACCTCGAGACAAAAGCAAACACCACAGCAGGCCCAGGGCCCACTCCTGACAGCTACCGCAGGCCCTCTGCCCACACTGCCTACTCAGCCCCTGTCCACTAACAAGCTCACTGTGCAGAGGGGGAAGGCACCACCTTCTCCAGGAAGCCTCCCTCTGTGTTCAGCACCTCCCTGGCTCCCACAATCCCTGGGCTGCTCCCCATCACGGCATCTCCCCTGGGTTATATGTGCCCCTGTGGGCATCCCAAAGGCAGGGCCCAATGTGTGACCCAGCACCCCCGTCCCCCCAGGGCAGGCACCAGAACCTGGCAGTTCATAACATCAAACTCGCACCCTCCAGGGCTACCCCTGGTCCCACCCAATCCCACCGCCCACGCAGGCAGACGCCCAACTCCCCAAGGAGGCCAGGCTCCCCAGCCCAGACCCAGTGCACCCAGGCCAGCAAAGGAGCTGGTCATGAACCAGACCCGAAGGTGGGGCCTGTGAGGGCATCACGCCCCTTCCAGCCCACCCACAGCTGCTTGGCCCCAGAATGCTGGCCCATGGCAGATGTGGACAGCCTCTCCTGGCAGCCCAGAGGGCTCTCCTGGAAGTCCCCACTCTGCCCTGTCCACCAGGCCCCTCCAAGCGGCCTCTTGGAGGCTGGGCTGGGGTAAAGCACCCCTCCCAGAGTTGGTCTCCAAGGCCTGAGGCGCGTGTCCTGACAAGGAAGCAGCCAAACGGTCCTCCTGGGCCTGTTTTCTCATCCCTGGGCTGGTCATGATCCCCTGGTGGGATGTAAAGAGGGCGAAGAAGCCATGCGCCCCAGACCCGGCCGGCTACCTCCCCCAGGACCCCCGAGGAAAGGCGCTGGAAGACAGATACTGGGCTGAGTCAGCTCTTAGGAGGGCGGTGACCTCGAGCCCAAGGCCTCCAAAGTCACGTTCTGCCAGAAAGGCGCGCTCCGGGCCAGGAAGGCGTGGAAGGCGTTGGTGGACTCGGCAGACCTCGGCGGGTGGGGGAGGAGCACGTCCTTGTCCACGTCCTCGGACACCAGCTGGGCCACGATCCGCGTGATGTCCTGCGGGCGACGGCGGGGTCAGAGGGCGGGGCGGGGCCGGGAAGGGATGGGGGCGGAACCGGGGAGGGGGGGGGGCGAGCCGGGGCGAGGTGAGGCTGGGAAGGGGCCGGCCCCGCGCTCCCCTCCCGCCCCGCCGCGCACCCTGCAGCTGGGGGCGCCTCCCGCGACGCCCGGCCTCTCCCAGCCGCCCAGCACGGCCAGCCGCCGGCGCTCGTCGATGCTGACGCTCCAACGGCGGCTCGGGCGCTTGCTCTCCGGCGGCTCGCACACCTGCGGGGACAGGGCAGCGGTCTGCGCCGGCTCCCATGGCCGCCGGTCCCTGCACCCGCCGACCCTCTGCACCCTCCAAGTTAGCGGGGAGGGCTCTCTAAAGTGTAGCCTGCCGAGCCTCCCCAGGATGCAGCTCAGGCCCGCAGTGCGGCGGGCGGGGCCTCGAAGCCTCTAGTCCTGGACATCCCGGTCCCAGCACTGCCCCGCTTTACTGTACAAGGGTCGGCCCTCGACGCTGAAGTCCTTACAGCGGAGGCCAGGGCTCACCCGGGTGGTGGCAGGACCTGGTGGGGCAGAAGCGGCCCTCCAGAGGAGGCCGGCACTCCAGGGAGCACGGCGAAAGCAGGCCGCCAGACTGCTGCGGGCCTCAAGAAAGGCCGGACCCAAAGGTCAGCGGCTCCTCCCCAAGCCCCTCCAAAATGACCATAAAGAGAGGCAGGGACGGAACGCTCAGGAATCCATAAGGACAGAGGAACAGCGGTGAGGCGCCGGTAGAGGCGGCAGCCAGCACAAGGTAGAAGGCTGGAAAGGGGTTTCCGACTGGGAAAGGCCAGAAGCAGGCCGCACCCCTGCAGGCCACCCCCCCCAGGTAGAACTTCTCAGGTGGACTGTCTGTGAAAGACCCCCAGAGCCCCTCACTGACTCTGCCCAGCCATGGTGCCATCTTGCTATCGCCCTGGGGGAAGACAGGAGGTTACTCTCTGGAGTGCCATTGGGGAGGGGAGCATACTAAAAATAGAGGATTAAGACAAACTCAAAGTGAAGTCCCACTCCTCAAAAAATTAAAAACAGAACTATACTATATGATCCAGCAATCCTGCTTCTGGGTACATATCCAAAGGAATTGAAAGCGGGATATTTCAAAGATTTCTACACCCACATTCACGTTCACAATAGCCAAAAGTGTCCATCAACCGATGAATGGATGAGCCTAGTGTGGTAAATCCACATAATGGAATATTACCCAATCTTAAAAAGGAAGGAAATCCTGACACCTGCTACAACATGGGTGAACCTTGAGGACATCATGCTCAGTGAAATAAGCCAGTCACAAAAAGACAAATTCTGTGTGATTCCACTCATATGAGGTTCCTAGAGGAGTCAGATTCAAAGAGACAGAAAGCAGAATGGGGGGTGCCAGGGGCTGGAGGAGGGGGAATTAGTGTTTAATGGGGACAGAGTTTCAGATCTGCAAAAGCCAAGGAGAAAGGCCTGGAACAGATCCTTCCCCCCCTAGCCCTCAGAAGGAACCAACCCACGGGCCGGCCCCGTGGCTTGGCGGTTAAGTGCGTGCACTCCGCTGCCGGCGACCCGGGTTCGGATCCCGGGTGCGCACCGAGGCACCACTCCTCCAGCCATGCTGAGGCCGCGTCCCACATACAGCAACTAGAAGGATGTGTAGCTATGACAGACAACTATGTACTGGGGCTTTGGGGGAAAGATAAATAAATAAAATCTTTAAAAAAAAAAAAAAAAAAAAGAAGGAACCAACCCTGCTGACAATTTGGTTTTGAACTTCTAGTCTGGGAGAATAAATTTCTGTTGTTTAAGCCAAAAAAAAAGTGAAGTCCCCAGCTCCACTTTTCACTCTGCACCAAGAACCGAGGTAGCCTGGCTATTTCCCCCTCCCCCCAGGACAGGGTAGGGCTCTTTTCTGCAGACAATGACCAGCCCCAGAGAAGAGGCCACACCTCAGCACGCAGAGCCTAAAGCCAGCCCTGCACACCCCACTCTGCAGTACAGACCAAGAGCAGGCACCAACAACGTCTGAGAAAGCCTCTGCCATGAAAACAGAACCCCAAACAACCCAGCAGGGATGAAAGAAACTCAGAGGACAGAGAGCTACTGCTGGGAGACGAAAGCATGCCACCTCCCCCACTGTCATTGTTCTTCTGCCAGATATGGTGTATCCATGAAACAAGAAGAGGATGATGCAAAAAAGGGCAATTCAGAGAACAAAAATAAGCTCTTTAAACTGAAAATGTGATGTCGGAATTAAAAACTCCACAGAAGGTGTGGCAGATTGTTGCTCCTAATTCTTCACTCCCTTCCTGTAACAGAAGTCTACCCTCCCCTTTAATAAGTGCTGCCCACTGGAGTATATTTTCCTGCCCATTGATGTTGGGCAAGTCTGCATAATGTTAACAGAGCGCATGCTTTAAATATGCCTGTGTGGTATGAGTTGGCCTCCGGTGTTTCTGCCATCCGCCATGAGCACAGCATTCCTGGCAAGACCTCTGAGAGAAGATGCACAAACCCCACTGACCTCAGACCCGTGGGCAGAAAAACAAAAGTTTATTGCTGTGTATCATGGAAATTTTGGAGTGGCTTGTTACAGAGCATTATCACAGCAAATGCTGACTAATAGAGAAGACTTGGAAACAAAGCACAGAGAGCTGAGACAGAGAAAACAGGTGACAAACACGAGAGAATTGAGAATCAATCGTGTAAGACCAACGTCCAACCAATAAAGTTTTCAGAAAGAGAGAGCAGAGAAAACGAACACACATATTTCCCAGAGATGAAGGGCCCACGTGGGTAATGAAAGGAAACAGACGGGCACCAGCAGGCAGTGTGGTGATGTTTCAGAACACTGGCAGGAGGAGAAAGACCTTAAAAACTTGCAGAGATTGAGAAGCAGGGCAGGGAGAGGCTCGGGACCGAACAGTCTAGCAGGTCAAGCAGGAGCACCGGAAGCCGGGAGGTAATGGAGCCACACCTTAAAAATTGTGACAGAAAATGCTTTCCCACTCAGAATTTTCACCCAACCAGAGTATCATTCAAGTGTGGAAGCACAATAAAGATATTTCCATAACTTTAAAGTCTCAAGAACTTGAACATCCTCTGGACCCTTTGAGAAAGCCACCAGGTGAGATGCTCCACCGAAACAAGGGAGTAAACCAAGAAGTGCCAAGACCCAGGGCCGGCATGGGGCAGGCGAGCAGAGTGGCGGGGAGGGGGTTCCCGGGCCAGAGGGACAGAATGGGACCGCACTGTGCGGCTCTGAGAGCAGCCAGGCCAGGCCGCTGCCATGGGAACACAGGGCTCCAGCAGGAAGAGGAGCTCCTGGACTCCCTGACATGCTGGGTCGTTGCTGAGAGGAGGGTCACAGCTTTGTTGGAAAGTTTGGAAAAGATTAATAATCAGTGCACAGAAAACAAAGAAGTGTGGGGGTGGGGGGTGGGCGTGGGCAATGACTCCCCCCAGGGAAAACCAGGATGCTGTGCGACTAGGAAAACTTTGTCATTTTGAAGGGAACTTCTCCACGCTCAGCTGTGGACGATGCTCACCTGGTCACTGGAGAGCCAACATCAGAGGCAGGTTTAAGTAAAGAGTATAAAACGAAGCTAGTGGGAGGATGGGGAGGGGCGCCAAATCCTCAGTCCCTGCGGGAGGAGTGACAGAATCTGAAATGGAGGGGTCACAAAGGAGCGGCAACAGCACGTTCTTTTAAATTAGTCGCAGGAGCTACAAGGGCCGGAAGAGGTGGGCTCTGGGCAGCCGGACTTCGGACACAAGAGCTGGGACAGGGCTGCGTTCTAAATTATGCGCCCCATGTGTTGATAAAAGTAACACCAAATGTGAAAATGAAGATTTAAGTAATTGAGAAGAGTGATCTAACAGACATGGAACAAGCCCAGGCCTCTCTAACCCATGGAGACCCCATGTTCTCGCCAGACTAGCAGTGCATTCGCACACACTGGCCGTGCTTTAGCCGCCAACAGAACAGATCCGCCAGTGCAGGACCCACGGGGTCACATTATGCGGCTGCAAAGCAATACAATTAGAAACTAATAATAAAGGATGACAAGACACTCCTATTGCCATGGATATTCCAGAACACCCTTCTAATCAGCTCCCAAGTGAAAAGGAAAATCAAGACTGAACGCCAGTTCATTCAGAAATGAGCGACCGGGGCAGGACACACCACGAGCCGCGAGGTGGCCAAAGCCGGCCTCCAAAGACAGTTGACAGCTTTCAAGCATCATGAGCAAAAAGCCCAGAACAGTGACAAAGCAGATAATTCAAGAAGCTAAGAAAAGAAGAAAGTCACTGAAAGTTTAAAGACAGAATTAGGAAAGATTAATGAATAAATTAAAACGAAAAAAATAGTGGCCAATTATCACAAACTGGTTCTTTGAAAAACCAACAAAATAATTACAAGTGCCCTTTTCCTTGTGTCCTCACCAACTCCACGTACATCCATCTTTATCATTTTTGCCAATCTTTTCATGTTTCATGTCCATTTAGTTTCTTCTTTTATGAACTGTAAGCCCATAGACTTGATACACTTTCAACTCGGTCTTAAAAAACGTTTTCTCATCGCTTTTCAGCATCTCTTCACGGATTCTGGTTGGTAAACACTGAAATATTAGAAACATTACCAGTGTTTTCTTACAGACCATCTTATAACATTTTTGTGTCTTGGATTGTACCAAACTTGAGAAACTGCAGTCAGGTCTGTCAGGATTTTCCTTCTTGGTTTCTTGGCCTAAGACAGGCATTTCCCACTCTGAGATTTTAAATCCCGCTCTTCTGCCTTCTCCCAGTGTTTCTGTGGTTTGGGTTTGACGTTTGGTGTGTGTGTGTGTGTTTGATGAGAGGTAAGGGATCTACTTTACAATCTTCTAAATGGATAGCCAGTCGCCCCAAGACCATTCATGGAAAAGTCTATTTCCCACTGCCCTGCAACGCCACGCAAAGCACACATGAAATCCCCAGATTGAAACGAGGGTCCATTTCTGGACTATTTGTGCTATATTGTAGATCTACTTGCCAACTTCTGTCCCTATACCACACAATTTAATTGCTGGAGCTTAAAGCAGGCAAGCAAGGCTTTGCTCTTATATTTCAAAATTCTTGCAGGGTTTCTTTTCCAAAAAATTCCAGTAAGTTTTTTAAAAAGATCTTTACTTTTTCAAATTATCTTTTTATTATACAGTAATACATTGTTTACTTTTGCACGTTTCTGAACTCTGAATAAAGGGAGCCACTCTGTA